AAATTACAAGTTCTGGTTTTTAACATACGTTATTAAGGTGGGTAGCAATAAAAAGGGAGAAAAATAGCAATACGGATAATATCAGTGAAATCTGACAGACACCAACATATATGGTTATAAATCATCATACTGTAACTATAACTACACATGGGAGTGCCATATTTTCACTCCACAACCTTTTGTGAGCGTGTGCTATGTACCAGGATTCATCTACACGAAAAAGAAACAAAAGGAAAAATAAAATCCCCTCTTTTGTGAAGCTCAGGTTCTAAAGGAGAGACTGGCAAAGTACAAATGAAAAAGTAATGAGTCATATCTCACAAAGTTGATCTTGATCTTCAGGACTGAGGAACTGCTGCAAAATTAAGCAACTTCAGGGATTCCTGGGAGTTCTCATGGCTGAACACATGCAGGCCGTCCCGCACTCTGTGCAGTGGGCAGAGCTACACTGACATAGTTTTGGGGAAATGCAAGGAGCTGTCAAAGTGCCTCCAATGACTGAGGTGCTGCAGTCACCCGACAGTGGCCACACTGGCAAGGAAAGACAGATTGCTCCCTTCAATCAGAAGGATGACCACAGAAAAAGACAACAATAAAAAACACTACAAATAGCATGAAAATAATTCTAAAACTGAATTTTAGAGTTAAAAGAAGGGAATGAAGCAATATCATTGTTTTCTTAGAATTGTATGTACAGAACACATTGAACCTGTTAAAAATTTACTACAAATTAAAACTAAAAACTTTAAAAAATCACAAAATAAGGGCATAGCAGGTAAAGCCACTTCCTGCAGTGCCAGAATCCCATATGGGCACCAGTTCGAGTCCTGGCTGCTCCACTTCCAATCCAGCTCTCTGCTATGGCCTGGGAAAGCAGTGGAAGATGGTCAGAGTCCCTGGGCCCCTGCACCCGCATGGGAGACTTGGAAGAAGCTCCTGGCTCCTGGCTTCTGGCTTCAGATTGGTGCAGCTCCAGCCATTGCAGCCAAATAGGGAGTGAACCAGTGGATGGAAGACTCTCTCTCTGTCTCTCTGCCTCTCCTCTCTCTGTGTAACTCTGACTTTCAAATCAATAAATAAATCTTTTAAAAAATCACAAAATAAGATTTCATATAAAAAAGAATAATAAGAAATCACGAAGATCACATGGTCCAAATTACTATTATTTGTGAGTATTCAGTTCTGCAAGCAAATGAAAACAAAACACAACCAATGAACTAAGATTAACTTCAGGTCAACTGCACACTAAGATGAAATTAAAAATGAATCAGGCCGGTGCCATGGCTCACTAGGCTAATCCTCCGCCTTGTGGCGCCGGCACACCGGTTCTAGTTCAGGTCAGGGTGCCGGATTCTGTCCTGGTTGCCCCTCTTCCAGGACAGCTCTCTGCTGTGGCCAGGGAGTGCAGTGGAGGATGGCCCAAGTACTTGGGCCCTGCACCCCATGGGAGACCAGGAGAAGTACCTGGCTCCTGCCATCGGATCAGCGCGATGCGCCGGCCGCAGTGCACCGGCCACAGCGGCCATTGGAGGGTGAACCAACGGTAAAGGAAGACCTTTCTCTCTGTCTCTCTCACTGTCCATTCTGCCTGTTTAAAAAAAAAAAAAAAAAGAATCAGAAGTCTGAGAGAGTCAAGATGGCAGAATAGGGAAGGAGCTTACTGTACTAGTCTAGAGGAAGACAGTTTAAAAAAAAGTGCAGAGATCGTGTTCTCTGGGAAGAGTTAGGCAGAAAATGGCAGAGGAAAAGCCATGCAGATTAGAGGGACACTGTGGACCCATGTGGAGGGGGTGCACACACACAACTCAGGGCCCCTGTAGCCGAGAGCCTCAGCACCAGCTTTGGAGTGAGGTGAGACCAGACTGCAGCAGCCCAAGCTGCTGGCAATAAAGCTGTAGGAAGAGACTAGCAGGAGTCCAGCATGGAGCCCTGTTGGGGACAGTACCTGCCAACCTCGAGGGGAAAAAAGCGGGCATGTTTCTCTCCCTGATAACCCTGCACCAGCCTCCTGTAACTCGCCAGGAGGAGGTGAGCATGATTTTAGACACACGCAGCAGTTGTGTCAGCCTGTGCTGGAATGCAAGGACAGCTCAATATTCTCAAGTCAAGCAATGTGACACATCACATCAACAAACTGAAGAACAAAAACCATGACTATCTCAGTAGATGCAGAGAAAGCATTTGTTAAAATACAACACTCTTTCATGATGAAAACTTTAAGCAAGTTGGGTATAGAAGGAACATTCCTCAACAGAATCAAGGCAATTTAGGACAAACCCACAGCTGTTATCCTATTGAATGGAGAAAACTTGGAAGTACTCCCACTGAGATCCGTACTAGACTAGGATGCAGACTCTACTAAGAGACTTTTGGAACTCATAGAAGAGTTTGGAAAAGTGCAGGATATAAAATCAAAACACAAAAATCAATAGCCTTTCTATACCCAGACAATGCTATGGTTGAAAATAACTCGTAAGATCAATCCCATTCACAGTAGCTACAAAAAAAATCAATTATCTTGGAATAAATTTAACCAGTGATATCAAAGATCTCTATGATGAGAATACAAAACATTAAAGAAAGAAATAGAAGATACAAAAAATGGAAAAATCTTACATGTTCATGGATTAGAAGAATCAGTATCATCCAAATATCCATATTAAGGAAATCAATATGATATCAATCAAAATACCAAGGACAATCTTCTCAGATACAGAAAAAATGATGCTGAAATTCATATGGAGGCACAGGAGAACCAGAAACACTAACACAATGTTATACAACAAAAACAAAGCCGTAGGCATCACAATACCAGATTTCAAGACATTCTATGGGGCAGTTATAATCAAAAGAGCCTGGTATTGGTACAAAAGCAGATGGACAATCCAATGGAACAGAACAGAAATGCCAGAAATCAATCCAAGCACCCACAACCAACTTACCATTCACAAAACAGCTAAAATCAATCCCGAGAGCAAGGACTGTCTTCAATAAATGAGCCAAAAAAACTGGATCTCCACGTACATAAGTATGCAGCAAGACTCTTATCTTACACCTTACACAAAAATCCACAAAATGGACTAAAGACCTAAATCTATGACCTGATGCTATCAAATTATTAGAGAATGTTAGGGAAAGCCTGCAAGACATTGGCATAGGCAAGGAGTTCTTAGAGAAGTCTCCAGAGGCACAGGTAATCAAAGCCAAAACTGACAAATGGGATTACATTTAATTGAGAAGCTTCCACACTGCAAAAGAAACACTCATCAATGTGAACAGCAAACTGACAGAATGGGAGAAATTATTTTTCAAACTACGCAACTGATAAATGATTAACAACCAGAATATATAAAGAGATCAAGAAACTCAACAACAAAACATACAACTCAGTTAAGAAATGGACAAAGCACTTAAACAGGAATTTTGCAAAAGAAGAAATCCAAATGGCCAACCAACACATGAAAAAGTGCTCAAGATCACCAGCTTTCAGGGAAAAACAAATCAAAACCAAAATGAGGTTTCACTTCACCCCCATTAGAATGGCTTTCACACAGAAATCAACAAGCAACAAATTCTGGCGAGGATGTGGGGACAAAGACAAAGGTACCCTAATACACTGTTGGTGGGAATGTAAACTAGTAAAGCCACTAAAGAAGATAGCATGGAGATACCTCAGAAATCTGAATATGGACCTACCATAGGGTCCAGCCAATCCACTCCTGGGAATTTACCCAAGGGAAATGAAATCAGCATATGAAAGAGTTATCTGTGTCGCTCCCCGTCTTCGTGGAGGAACGACACAGGACCCTGCGTTGTTCTTTCGTCTGCTCGGCCCTCCCCGGGTTTGCTGCTGGTTCTTCCCAGGTTGGCTGCTGGTCCTTCCCGGGTTGGCTGCTGGTCCTTCCCGGGTTGGCTACCGTCCCTTCCACCTCCGTGGAAGGGCGGTTCCCCCTGCCACATTCCCCACTTCCGCGGGGGAGCAGCACACCGCCGGCCGGCTCTCTCGGGGGCTGTACAGGTGTTCCTTCAGATAGATGTTCCCCCTAGATGTTCCCGATGCATGCCGTCTCTCTCCTCCTTTATAGTCCTCCTCCGCCAATCCCAACTCGGCTGCCCACACGCCGAGTACGCTGCTCTCCTCCAATCAGGAGCAGGATCAGCTCCTTGAGGTCATCACTCAAGTTGGCAAGAGGCAGCTGTGTAGAAGCTGTTTCCTCCTCTCCCAGCGCCATATTGTGGGAGAGCAGATGCATAGAATAAGTCTTAATTCCAGTAACTTAGTCTAGTCCAAGTTGCTCCCCACAATCTGTGCCTTCATGTATATTGCAGCTCAATTCACAAAACCTAAGACACAGAATTAACCTAAATGCCCATCAACTGAAGGTTGGATAAAGAAATTATGGTATATGTACACCATGGAATACTACACAGTGGTAAAAAAAATGAAGATGAAATCCATTCATTTGCAACAAAATGCAGGCATCTGGAAAATATCATACTTAGTGAAATAATCTAGTCCCAAAGGGACAAATACCATATGTCCTCCCTGATTTGTGATAACTAATAGAGCACCTAAAATGTAATCTATAGATGTGAAATTAACACTTCAAGATGCAATGACTTTGAACAGCCCTTGTCTTGACTGTTGAGAAACAAATATTTTTCATACAATTTGTTGAACTCTTTAATTAGTATGGAGTTAATCACATGTACATAAAAGGGGGTGGAAGTGTGGGTGGAGGGCAGATACAGTGGAAAGAATCACAATAATCCTAAAGTTGTATTTATGAAAAGCATTAAGTTTGTATTCCTTAAATAAAAGGATTCTGGGGAAAAAAAGAAATTAAAAATTAGAGTCCATGATTCCCATAAATCAGAGTCCCCTAGTGTGGCTCAGGATTCCACAATATCAAGATTATTTCGTGTTGTCTGCAAGACCAATTATTTTCCTGTAATAACATGGATGCATTACTGTTGCCTTCACTTTCATTCTTTCCCAGTGGACCATCATGTTCCCATGAGTCACCTGACGTGCGATGCTGCAGCAGACAGGGCACAAGGCAGATGGGAGAGCTTCCTGTCTTCTAAACACATGACACTTTTTAAAACACAACAGGTAATCCACTTATGAATGCTATTTGATAGATGAAGAATGATCATATGTAGCAATTAATACTGCTTTACTGAATCAGGCCATGTAAATGACAACACATTCTTCTTCCCCCACATTGTGATCCTCACTGGCATCTCTCACTCTGTGAAATTAATATCTCAGTTTTCAAGATAAAATAGTGTTTATATATACATATATATAATGTCTACATTTGAAGTAAATATGGTAACATGTTAAAAACTGCCAAATAATTTTTTAAAAAGAAATATCACATGTTAACTTCAAAAAGTTTATAGAAAGTAGAATTATATAATTTGTGTTGAAAATTTTTTGATTCATTTTCTTTTCCACAATGCACATTTTCCATAAATTTTTGAGGTATCCTCAACTGTGTTGACAATTTCTCCCTTTAAATTCCTAATATTACCAGGTATAATTCACACAGTGACTCTTATAGTCTATAAAACTTTTAACAATATAAAGGATATCTGACACTTAAATCTAAGAAGCAACTGCTCATCATGTTAATATAACAAAACTGAATTTGTGCAACTGCTAAACTCATCACGATTTATAATGAATATAGCATTGGCTACCTATATACCCTAGTCAACATCTAGAACCACACAACAGTTGAAACCACGTATTTTATTCCCATTTTTATTGATGGGAAAATGAAGAGTAAGAAAAACTGCACTGTCCATGGTCAAACACCTACCAAATGGCACAGCCCATGTGCAGACCCCACTCTCCAAAACCACAGTTGTTATCAATGGTTCTAGATCAGAACTTGGGTGATCAACATCTCACCTCATCTACAAATCTGCTGCTGTAACCAAACCCTCTGTGCCTTACATTCAAAAATTACCCTCTAAAAATAATCAAACCAAGAACCAAATCTATAGGGTCATAAAGTAAAAGACTGTGTCATTCAAAGAATGAAGCTTGAAGCCAACAGGAAAAAGTCACGGAGCAGAGAGAAGAGTGAGTAAGAAAACATGGATAAATCTGAGTGATAAAATCAAACAGAAATGGGAACAGGCAGAAAAAAATGAGGGAAGATCAGAAAGGATTAAGATCAGTTCTTAAAAATGTGCACCTTGTAAGAAGAGGAAGAGAATAAAAGCTTGAACCTGTGAAATGGAAAGAGAAAACATGACAGTTGGGGAAGTAACGGATGGGTAAGTCAGCAGATCTCCTGCTCTAGGCGACATCCATGCCTGCAAGTAAAGGAGAAGGAAGGAAGTCAGGTAGGGAGAGGAAGAACAGGAAGGGGAGGACGAGGAGCAGAGGGAGAAGGAGATAGCAGAAGCATGTGCAGGTGGACATCTCAGAGATCCAGACAGAGAGACAACCAAAGCGATGAACCCAGTTGGCATTACCTTTAATCAGAAAGTGCAAAAAAATTAGTAATGGTTAAGCATCTGTGTAAAATGTATAAAGTAACCTACGGATTACTACTGGGACAGACACAAGGTGAGATATATAATAATGTTGCAATTTAGATCATTGGGGACTTCAAACAGTTCATGGAAAATGCAGGTGATGAAAAACACGATACATAGATTTCAAAACAAAATTTGTACCAAAGTAAGCTCATCTTTTAATTCCATTTTTTAAAGAGTTATTTATTTGAAAGTCAGAGCTACAGAGAGAGAGAGATCTTCTTCCCATGGTTCACTGTCCAGATGGTTTCAATGGCCAGGGATAAGCCAGCCCAAAGCCAGGAACCAAGAGCTTCTTCCATGTTTCACACATGGGTGGCAGGGGCCCAAATGCTTAGGCCATCTTCTGCTGTTTTCCCAGGCCATTAGCAGGGAGCCAGACCAAAAGTGGAGCAGCCAGACCACCAACCCATGCTCGTATGAGACGCCAGCACCACAGACAGGCTTTACCCACTACACCACAATGCCAGTCTCTTCCGCTTTTAAAGTTATGGTCTAGAATGACTTTGATAAACAAAATATCTGTTGAAGTAATTGCTTCCTTACAATGCTGAATTCTTGCTACAAATAGCTGTATGTTACTGAATATTATTCTCAAAGTGGATTATTGTGAGTTGACCAGTTGTGTATTATGAAGATACGTATTCTCAAATGCATCTCCACTCTTGTATGCACTTTGAGATCCTCCTGCTACATAACTGATACCACAATAAGTAGCTCTCCAAAGTCACTACGGTTTTAAATAATTATTTCATTTAAACAAATAAGGCTCATAGAATCTGAATACCTTGCCAAAGTCCACCAATGGTTACGCTTCATAGGTAGGAATAAATTCAGATATTAATGACTATGACTATGTTTTTCAGTCTCCCAAATTACCTATCTGCCCAGGAAGAGCCCATATTTTTAAAGAATCATCTGATGAACAAACACACACACACCTGCATGGAGATTGGAATCATCACCAAAATGAGTATCTGGAAACACTGAAGACAGTAGAAAGTCCACTTCTGATTGGGGCCCTCAACTCCAGCCAACCTTCCTCAGAACACTGAGTGGACCTGGTGACATGACTCACACACCCCCAGCGACATCAGCCCAGCCAGAAGCAGACAGGACACAGCTGTCCCTGAGAGAGTGGTCCCATCTGAACTCGGGGACGTGGGCCCTCCTCCCCACCCACTTCTTCATTTCTATTACTTGTGTCTCCGAATCAGAGCCCTCCCCCAACAGTAAATGAACAGAGAGCGGATTCAAATCACACTGTGAAACGGAAAGTAGGGACAGCACACATTTGGCTAAGAGGTTAGGACATCACTTGGGACACTAACGTCATCCCCAGCAAAGTGCCTGGTTTTAGCCTTGGCTCTGCTTCTCACAGACTTCCTGCTAATGTGCTCCTGGAAGACAGTGGATGATGGCTGAGGTCTTCAGGTCCCTGCCACCCACATGGGAGGCCCAGACTGGGCTCCAGGCTCCAGTGTCAGCTTGGCCCAGCCCTGGCTCTTATGGGTATTTGGGGAATGGCACAGCAGATGAAAGACCTGTCTGTCTGTCTCTCTCTCTACCTTAAAGTAAAATGAATAAAAACAACTAAAAATACATAAAACCAAAAGTAAATGAATACATGAGAAAACTACAAATCATAAGTGTGGGGGGCAATCCAGATTAGTGCAGAGTCGTGATACATGGGGATCTTTTCTTTAAAAAAAAAAAGATTTATTTATTCATTTATTTATTTGAAAGAGTTACAGAGAGAAGCTGAAGCAGAGAGAGAGAGAGAGAGAGAGAGAGAGGTCTTCCATCCGCTGGCTCATTCCCCAAAAAAGCCACAATGGCCAGAGTTTCGCTGATCCAAAGCCAGGAGCCAGGAGCTTCTTCCGGGTCTCCCACGTGGGTGCAGGGGCCCAAGCACTTGGGCCATCTTCTACTGCTTTCCCAGGCCACAGCAGAGAGCTGGAACGGAAGAGGAGCAACAGGGTCTGGAAACAGCGCCCACGTGGGATGTCGACACCACAGGCAGTGGCTTCCCCTGCTGTGCCAAGCGCCGGCCCCCGGCAAGTGGACCTTCATAAGCAGAACACGCAGCTGCCACCCGGGACCCCCCTCTCTGAGCTTCTGAGAGTGCAGCAAAGCCCCCCTCACATTTCCAGCAGTGACTCAGAACCGAGGCGCTGCAGAGCACGTGAGGAATCCTCTCTCATTAAAGAAACTCAGCAGTGACGGACACAGAAAGGCAGTAAACCCCGAGACAGGAGACACACCTGGGTTAGTCAGGACACAGGCAAATCCCGGATGCAAGAACATCACTAAACCACAGACCTGTGGAGGTAAAAGGACATGACAGCTCCTCCTGGTGGACCAGGGGTGATTTGCACTCAGGAGATCCAGCGGCTCACACGGAGGGTGGTCAAACAGCAGGGGAGTGACCACCGCTCCCAGGAGTGAGGTGCCGTGGGAGGCACACCCACCCACTCGGTTTTTACAATAATTCTCTAAAACGGGTACTACCCAGATTCCACTGAAGGAGAGTAAGACTCAAGGAAGTTCAGCGACTTGTCTTAAATTGTCCTTAAAAGCAGCAGAGCCCACATCAGAACCTTCCAAAACAGGTGATGAATTCTTCCAGTAGGATCTGTGGGGGAAGGGGTGGAGGGGGGAGGGGTGTGAAATGATCTTCAAAGTTTCCTTCCATGTTGACTAACACCTGCTAAGCAATGGCCTTATCTCAGTACTTCAGCAGAAACAGACCCTCTCAGGACACTATTAATGATCAAGAGCAGGCAGATAGACACAGATAAATCAGACAGCAATGCCACCCAGTCTTTCAAAATAAGCTACGGCCATTTTTACAATTATAAGTGGTTTGAAAGGACAACCTAAACCACAATGGCAAAAAAATAAATAAAACTAAAGAAGAAATCAGGAAAAATATGAGAACAGTTATACTAAACTGGCAATGCCTAGAAAGGATCAAAAGGAAGTCATTTTTTTAATCAAAGGAAAATAAAAAGTGACACAAAAAATAAAAGGAGTGACACAAAAATATGAAAAAAGCATCCAATATAGGATATAGACAAAAGTAATCGCTGATATGTAATGATTCATTGAAAACAGAGCTTAAATAGGAAAAAAAATACTAACAGTCATAATGCAAGAAAACTGTCCCAAAAACAAAGACATAATCTAAAAAATCTCAAAGGTATAAATTAAAAAAACACATCAAAATACAGGAAAATAAACATAGGAAAAAAAATACTGAGATATAGTCTAGTAAAATTACTGTAATTAAACCTAAAGTTTCGTAGACAGCCCAGCAAAAACATAAAGACAAACAAAAGAAAACTAGGCTGTCACTGTTCTTTTCAAAGGATTACTTGAATCAGAAGACAAGGGAGCAACAGAACACCTATGAAAAGCAACTGCGAAACTAGGGTTTGATCCATGTAAACTGACTTTTTTTTTAGATTTTATTTATTTATTTCATAGGTAAAGTTACAGAGAGAGGGAGAGAGAGAGGTCTTCCATCTGCTGGTTCACTCCTCAAATGGCTGCAAT